CATGTGTGGGGATGTCGTTAAAACCAACACATGCTCCGTGTATTCCCGTCCCAGGCACTGGGCTGAGGCTCTACACTCACCCTCAGCCTTGAGGCCCAGGACAACACCGTGAGGCTCCGGCCACCCCATGTGAGAGGTGAGGGGACAGAGGCACAGAAACTGAGTCACTCATCCAAGGGCACACAGATGATCAATGATTCAACCGGGACCCCCACTGTCGTTTAGAAACAAGGAGAGGAACAAGGGTATGAACTTCTCACACCAGCAGAGTGTGCAACATAGTAACTCTTGCTAGTTACTTAACAATTACTGAACAAGCCAGGGTGAGAATCACAGAGTGAAACAGCGAAGGGCTTCAAAGATGAAAGAGGCACCCCAAATGGAGCTTAGCGAAATCTCTAATTTGAACTTTAGTGACAAGTATCAGTGATACTTCAGAGAGAAAAGTCTGGTGAGTAAGGTCCCGTGAAGATGTCTGCTTCTTGTAGAGACCACACTGCACCTAGAACCCTAGATGTAACAGGCTCAGGAGGCGCTCGGGTATTAGGGGTTCTGCAGTGACCAGTGCTCAGGGCAGCCCATGTGCCCTCTGCTAGTGACCACGGGCTGCTGAGCGCTGACAACCACGCACACCAGATCTAGGAAGTACTGAGGGATAAGAGATCCCTATTTTAAATTGTTTACCTGTCTGACAAAATAACTATCAGATAACACTTTAGCTAGGCTGGTTTGAGAAAATGTATTATACAAACAAAATGAAACTATATTTCTTTTAAGAATAGTCGACAATTCAGATTTGTCGTCTGCTACTAATTTTAAAGGGAGGGAGCTCAGAATGGGAGCAAAATGACTGAATGGCTGATAAAGATGATGCTGGATGTTTCTAGGCACTAAGGACATCTAGGCACAGGGGTAAGAGCACTCTTAGCTGGCTACAAACCAAACCACCTGGGGGAAATGGTGCTTTTTATTTCTTATAATTATCACATATAATCCACTCGTGTCAGGGTGGCAACAGGAGACACGCTCTCGCATACTGTCACTGCAACACCAAGACCTCCAGGCCCATTAGTTTCTTTCTATATTCTTGAACCATTTTCTAGAGTGTCGGACAGATGAGGGACCCATGTCTGCTTGCTGTTCCTGAACACATTCTGCTCATGTGTGTGACGGCCTAGACAGACACCCTGGCAAACAGCCCAGCTCTGCCTCTCACGGCAGACAGCGCTGGGTCTCAGCATCTCCTGGGTAGAGAGAAATTCTGGGAGATGTCAGCTTCCCTTCTCAGGGTCTGCTGAATCTACATGGCTTCAAAACCAGACTTCCTTTCAGGGGAGGGAAACGTGTTCGTGAGAGATGTTGCTGAGGGGCCACTCAACATTTCAGCACCAGCTCCCTGACTGAACATGTGTGTAGGTGTTAGGGGCAGGGCGGGGGCCGTTCTGACAGGTGTGTGTGGGCATCGAAGGGTTTGTGACTGTGAATGACTTAGTGTTCCCTTTCAGAACTGAGGACCAGGAAAGCAGACACCTGGGGATTAAGATCTCGTTTGGGGACCATTATTGGTTTTCTGAAAAGTGGTCAAGTAAAGGAATAGAGACAAGATAAAAATCCCCTTTGTCACTACCTGGAAATGCCTGATAGCCCCCCACCTAACCCACCTGCCCACACTCGACACACGGGCTGGACCCCCTCGGCTGCTGTGCAAGAGGTGAGGCAGGACTCCCCCGACAGGCTGGCAGATTAGGTTTGCAGATATCAGAGGTCTGCACAGAACATATAATTTTCCAGGCAGTCAACACCATACAATGGAATGCAGAACACTGTAGAGAATGGAGTGCTATTATTTTATCGCCCACACAAAAGAGAAGGAACCCATTCTCTTTCTGGACAGATGGATTTCAGAGGAGACGCCTCAGCTCAGAACAGTCATTGTGGCCACAGCACAAGTCTCTGCACTTTGTAGGGTTTAGCAGACTTTTCTTTCCAATCCTCAGAGAGCAGCAACTGGCATTTGCTCGAGCCCTGATCTGTCAGGTTTTCTCCACCGCTCATACTGACCACAATTATACGGTCCATGTGCAGATTAGCTGCAAAGTCATTCTTCCGTCAGGAGTGACAAGACTTCCCCAAATAAAAGAAGGTACCACTGTCTTCCCGAGCGCGCCTGCATTAGCAAGGCTGGGGTAGGGTGGGGGGATGTAAGGAGCGTGGAGAGAGACGCCTTTGAAAGAAAAGCATAACCACGGAAAAAGTAGCTGTAACAGAGTGGTGACATGGCAAGAACAGAGAGCGGTATTGTCACGGGCGGAGTAATCCTGTGACACACTGCTGTCACTCACCCCGGCTCCCTGCCTTGCCAGCCAGACATCAAAGGCTGCCCCATACCATCTTACACGCTCTTTACCGGCTAATCAGCCCATTCTTCCCTAAATAAAGCCCTGTGAAATCCCCTGCTCACAGGGCACAGGCGGGCTGGTGCCCATCTGCCAGCGAGGGTCAGCAGAAGCAGGAGGCGGAGTGCCTCTCCCTAGTGGCTTCTCAAGGTAAGGACAATGCTGGCTCCAAGTCCCCCTCCCAACTGCCTCCCTGCCTTCCAGGATCTGGGTGGGAGCTGAGGACATGCCAGTCTGAGGAGCTGCTGTCTGGATTAACACTTGCTGATGAAACTCCCGGTCATGGAAGTAGATCACCTGTGACAATGAAATACTGGGATCCACTGATGTGTGGGGAGACAAAGAAACAAAATGCGTTTCTTACCAGTCACCACCTGGCAGGCCTTGTCCTCCCTTCTCAGAGTCAACGTTTCAGAGACGTGATAGGATAGCCAGGCCTAGATCACTAGGAGGTCACTCTCGGACCCAAGTGCAGGCCTCATGGTTTGTCATATACTCAAAACCAAAGTTAACATACGCAGACATCAGCTACCCCAAACCCAAGACAGGGCCAGCCTCTGGTGCACTGCAGCCCCGCACCCCGCACCGTTGCACCCTAGGTGCCCACCCGCTGGAGGACACCAGGCTGTGTGTCTCCCAGGCAGCTCAGAACAGCAGCGTGTGGAGAAACACCTGCCTCAGACTACTGTGCTCCACAAGAGCTAACAATGGAAGGCAACCACCACGCCTCTACAAACTCCAAAAAAACTCTTTACCCATTACCCAGAGCCTCATGGATGCCAAGTCCCTGCCCAGATCAAGCTGGAGGTTCTGGAATCTTAACTCATCTAGTCTCTAGCTCTGTGTCCTAAGGGCCTCATCTGTGTGGCTCTTTATGGTTCAAAAGGCAAATTTACACTTAAGACCTCATTTTGGTTCTCAAAACCATCTTGTGAAGTAGCTAAAAATCTAGATTTCCTTCTCCTGTTGGTCACTGAGGAAATAGGGGCTCTGAGAAGTTAGGCAAAGACACAGTCCAGAGCTCACAAGCTCATATCAGACTGGGCAGCACTTAAGACCACGTGCTGTGGCTCCAATAGCAATGGTTACACCCTACAGGTGGTCCTTCTCCCTCCACCAGAGAAGCCACCTGACAAGGCTGACAATGCCACCGGCACTTCTCGGTGACCCTGTGCAGGATGGAGCATGCTGGAGGGGTGCTGCCTACAAGCCCCCTATCAGGCAGGAAGGGCATGTGGATATTGGCATTTGTAATTAATATGCAAAAATAAGGCTACACAAGGCAAAATACCTGTCCAGAGCATACAAGGGTTCCTTGGTACCCAAACACCTGTATGCTGTGTCCTTCCCACCAACGCAGCATGAGCAATGATGGCAATCCACCCAAACTCCGCAAGCAACCTCGTCCACTCATGGAATCAAACCCTGCAGTTCCCACAAGGGCTGGGTTTGCCACTAAATGAACAGTGTCTTTGAGGAGAGAAAGAACTTTTATGAATGTATTTTGCTGAGGGAGATCATCTCAGGACCTCCTGACATTTGAAGATGGACTCAGAGCCCAGCGCCCACAGGGCCATGCTCCTTACTCTGACTTTCCTCTCCCATGAGCT